GCAGGAAAAACTCCAGGTAGACCTTTGCTCCTTTACTACATAGTGTACAGGACTTGGAGGGGTAAAGGAAGATCTATCTGTGTGATAGAAGCAGTATTCACCAACAAGAATAACTGTTTAGAAGTTACTTGTATTGAGTTAATGTTTTCTTCTGTGTTTATTAATCCAAGGTCAAGAGGAGTTATGTTCTCAGAACTTAAGCTGAGGTAACCAGTGTTAATGAGAGTTTAAAAAGTAGATACATTCTGTTTTACAGTTGAGGAAGGTTATTTTGGATTTCTGCTTCAAATCCACATCTGCAAAAAACCCCAGTATTTGTTTCTAGTGTCTTTAAAATTGTATTTTGAGGTTTTTTTAACATGCAGTTTGGATTTGAAATGCACAGTAGACTCCCAAGGGAATATAAATTTATCTGGGGGGGGAGGATGTGTGTATCAGTAGTAGTAGTAGATTTGAGATACCAGAACATTTGGAGGGCACATAGTGTAATTAAGAATGATGGGATAGTTTAAACCCTCTTCATAGTCTTAATGTTTTGTAATGTCACATATGCTTAAAGCTGTGCATATGTAAAGTACTGCATGTTCTCATAAATGTGTTCAATAGTCTGTTTTGTAAAAGTTTGGGGAGGGGGAAAAAAAGCTCTGCATTAGGTAGATATTTAATGTTACAGTGAACGTAAAAGTGTAGTTTGACTTTTTTCTAGAGCATTTTCTTTAGCTCTTTTCAAAATAACTCAGGCTTCATCTTCATGCAGGAAGGATTGCTTTACTGGAAGTTCACACTCTTAGTAGTTTGTCTGATCATACTTGGTTTAGATTTTTGATGAGACAACTTGGATGTCTGAAGAAATAATGCTTGTACTGGACCACTTTCAAGTTGCTGGTTGTTCTTTCCTAGTTTCTCTTAAACCCAGTTTTGGTTAGAATTGAATAGTAAACCAAAAGAGCCTGTGCAATGCCAACTGCTAGTTAATGTTTTATCGTAATTTCAGTCTTCTCCTTAATGTACTAGCATATAGATTTTATTCTAGAATGACTTGAGAGGGAAAACAGCAGCTCCACAGTAGTAAAATATGTCAGTGTCCGGCTCTCTCACAGAATCATATAGCTCACTTGTGCATATAGTTACATTTTGGGGCTATGCTGGAAGGTTTTGTAGCCTTAAATCTCCCAGAAAACTTGGCAAAGCTTCCTTTTTCCTTTCAATAAAGTAGTGCCTATTTTTACAGGAATTGAATACTGCCCTTGTTCTCCAATGCTTTGAAGAGTTTTTGTGGAATGTTTCCCCCATGATAATTTTCCTATTAAACTTTATAACAGGAAATTGGAATGTACTTGTACTTTATTTTATTCTTTTGCCTTGGGCTTATGTAAACTGGTCTTGGTGATTGTTATGTACATTTTTTCCATCTTTAGTGCACAGTGCTGTGGTAAACAGTCTTTCCTTTCACCCTTCTGGAAACTATCTGATTACTGCTTCCAATGATTCAACCCTTAAAATTCTGGACTTGCTAGAAGGAAGACTTCTATATACTCTTCATGGTCACCAGGTGAGACACAGCCTTTTTTATTGGTAACATACAAACCCATAACAAACTGGGCAAATTTGTGCTTGAACCTTTCATTCTTCATGGCAAAAAACCTTTTGAAAAATTCCTTGCATAGAATGATGATGATGATAATAATGATAATAACCTTTGAGATCATGTCTGTTTTGAAGGGAAAACTTATGGGGAGGGAAGGAGATAAGGCAGGAATGGAGAGGATGAGAAACCAAGGCAGAAAGGAAGCTCCAGTGTTGAGGATGCAAGTCTAGGACCTAAGGGACACAGTCAGAGCTGTGCCCCAGACTGTAATCCAGGGTCTGTTGTGCACTCTGTACCGCAGCTCTGGCTCTCTCCTTCTCTAGAGTGTTGCAAGTAACAGTTGGCCCCTGACATTACTGTTGTGAAGTAAATAAATACTGTTCACCTGACACAGGAGGCTTAAGGACAGTAATGGTGAAATGGAAGAAATACAGTTTTGGGATGTGATTTGGGAACATGCTTCAATTTTGTTAACAGGCTGAATTAAATAATTGAAGGTGATGTTGTGAAGATAAATACTGTTCACCTGACAGGAGGCTTAAGGACAGTAATGGTGAAATGGAAGAAATACAGTTTTGGGATGTGATTTGGGAACATGCTTCAATTTTGTTAACAGGCTGAATTAAATAATTGAAGGTGATAAATGCTGCTGGTTGGTTAAGTTTAACTGATTGGCCTATTAGTATTGTGCTGCTGGATGTGTTGCTTGTAAGGTTAATTATATGAATGCTTGGAGCTCTCTTTTAAAATGTTAAATTAAAATAGACTAATTTCATTGTCCATGCTGGGTGGGGCTCAAAGGCATGAAAAAGCAGACCTGCTTTAAAGGTTTCCTTTCCAAAGGGACAAATAGAACAGAAATTCTTAACCCATTTGTGTCTCTTGTTAAAATGGGAGCTGAGTCTTAAAGCATCAAAACTAGCTGGGGAAAATCACAGACTGAAGCTGTTGAGGGTGTTGGAGATTTGGTCTGGGCAATAATAGTAGCTGCCTGAGTTGCAAAACTGATAATTCTGGCTTTTTGTGGCTTTATGTTTAGTGACTGCCTTGTCTGTCTAAAAATGTCAGGTTTGTTCTGTAACTTCTCTTATACTATGTGTTAATAAACTTTTCTTCTTTTTTGTAATATTAATGGCAAAATAGGACAACCTTATACTTCAAGCTCTGCTTCATGGGAAGATGTGATTAAAACTGACCAAAGGGTTCAAATGCTGAAAAGAATGGGGGAAAGATAATGCTGGCTAGCCTAACATGTAAACCTTGACTGCATAAAATTTTCTTACTTTGAAAACTGAACCAAGTTATCTTATACTCTTATCAGATAGAGGTTGCAAAGCTTCTAACTGTTGTCTTAATCTCATTTGCATATTTGTCTTTTGTGTTAATTGCCCAAGTGAGTTCTTAGGAAGTAGCCTTCTGGAAAAAGGCAAGTGTGGAGGGACAGTGGATCTTTGCACCTCTCATCCTTTCTTCAGGTGCCTGGTTATTGTTCAGCATGTGGCTGAACCTGCTTCTGTTTTGCTCCCTTCTAAGCTGTAGGCTGCTCCTCACTCAGTGTGGTGGCACAAAAAAAAAAAAAGTTTAGCTTTGAAGGGGTGCCTAAAACCAATTATGGTGATGGAGGTCTTCAGAATTAGATGCAAGAAAGTCCCTTTAGGCTAATACTGTACTTAACTTGGGGCTTCTACAAAGCAGTTGGTTTGTGAATCATCTGTTCAGAAGTAAAGTTAAAGCTCCATATTTTTTCCCTACTGTTTCAGATCAGTAAGACAATGTCTGCCACTCCCTGCTAGGCATCTAACTGGTATTAGAAATGTTTTGACACTGGCACAGCTGAAGGGTAGTTGCCATTGTGGGATTATACCTCCTTCAGTTTGTAAACAAGTACAAGTATAAAAGTGGCTGGTAGTGCTTTCTGGTTGTTTTTAAGGGTTTTGCACCAAGATGGCTCTGGAACCAGTCCTGGATAGCCCTGGGCTGGTGGTATTCCCTCTGCTGACATATGCTGTGTGGTTGTGGGTTGGTTCTTTTAATGCCCGATTTAACCAGATACTGTACTTTTCCACTAAAAGTGTATGATGATCTGTGCTTCATTCACAGTAAGCAACCGGCAGTGACCACAGGCCCTGCTTTCATCAGAAGCTGCTGAGGTGGAGGCCTGCCCTGGCTGCTTCTCCAGCCTGCTCTGCTCATAGATAAACCCAGGCTACTTAATACTGAGGGCTTTTTTTTTCCCCTTTGTTCTCACTGTGATATCTGCCGGTATCTCCAAGTGGCTAAAAAGGAAGTGGGTGTGGGTTTTATGGTCATAAGTAATTTGCCTTTTCAAGTGAGAGCTATAGTTTAGTCACCAAATGAACAGCATGTTCTGAAGACATTCTTGAGTTATGACTTGTGTGAGTGCATATGCTGGTTGAGATTTTGTTCTTGCTCTGACAGCTGACTGCTGTTATGTTCTGAGAAGGCTGCATGCGAGTGGGCACTCGAAGGAAAAAAAAAAAGAAAACTTAAGGTCCTTTAGACATACTTTGACGCAACTGCTGGAGTGCCAGGAATTTGTTAGCAGCTGATTAGCTGTAGTTTATATAGGGAGGATTGCCAAGTTTACATTGCTGTCTTTAATTGTAATGTAGCTGGCTCCCTTGTAGCAGAAGGATCGTTGGAGACAGGAGTTTGTAGCTTGGAGCTGACATCTTGCAGCTGCAAAATATCATTCTGTATTGTGCTGCATATTTTAGTTCTGGAGTGCTTCAAGCTGTGAAGTACTCTTACCTAATTCCATACAGATGAGACACCAGCTTGGTACGTAAGTCCACTTCTGGTACTGAATAATTGTTGAGGAACAGAATGTTTTAGGGCCCCTAAGTCACCTCCAGAAAGTTGCTGGAGGAGAGCAGGTATGTACACAGTGCCTGTCTGCCCTTTGGGGCGGTTTGATTAGAGCATTTCCAGACTGACTTCCTTAGTGAAATGGAAATTTTCAGTAAATATTTAGAAAACATCTGCATGGGTATGTTTATAAATAGGAAGCCAGAAAATGCAAAGTTACCATTCTCCAAGCAACCTTGACTTGAACCATGAAGTAGCTGCATTCTGCCTATCTCGGTGACATAAGTGCTTTCTGCTTTGCTGCCTGACTGAAGAGCAAGATCTTCTGAGCAGGTGCATGAGAAACAAGTGTGCTCCTTTACAGTCTGCTGCCAGCTCAACTAGGTGGCATTAAACATCTGTGCAGGCCTAGTCCTCTTTGAAGGATGTGAGGATATCCGAGGGCTGCACAGACCTGGACCAACAGAGGCAGAGAAGAATGTGTTGCAAGCAACAAGCAATTGACTTAGATTAGCATTTCTGAGTAATAAAAGGAAATACGAGTTCTCTGTTCTTCCCTTGTAATTTTTTTTAAACTGAAACTTTCAGGAGTTAAAAAGATACTGAACATTCAGTTATAAGGTGCCAGTATAAATTTTCCCAGTGTTAGCTGTAGCCCTTACTCCCTGGAGAAGGAAGGTGCAGGCATGACAGTCTTATTCTATGTAGTAATACAGGAATTTTTCAAAGCTCAGTGGATTGAGAATCCTTGTGACTTCTTGTCAGAGGTATTCTGCGTGAAAACATCGCTTGTTGCCTTTGCCATCTCTGTCCTCTGCTTTTCTCCTTGGTTCCCTTTCTCTCTTCCTTTCTCTGCTTTGTGTTATCACACTCATTGTGCAGTTTCTAGGAATCTGCCCGTTTTGTCTAAAAACTTTTCTTGCCCTTACTATTAGAGATGTGGATTCTTTCCACAGTCCTTATTGCTTTCCCCTCCATTCCCTCTTGAGGACAGTACTCGGCTCTGTCCTGCGCCTCTTGATTTGCCAGTGTGCAGTGCCTGTGCTGACACCTTTTCCACTCTCCACATTGTCTTTATAGTATCTGTGTTGTTTATGGAAAGACAACAAACATCCATGGCTTTCATAGCTTTTTTTTGTAGTTATTTTTTTTTTCTAAGATCTGGATTTTCCTGTCTGATGCTGCTTCTGCAGGATAAGTGCTACATCCTGTACCAGATAAGTATCCTGCTATTGTCTTTCACCTTTTCTGATAGGATTGACTAGATCTTCATAGCTGTGGGTTTCCTTGCTGCAAGTTCATCATTGAGCCTGAGATACAGGCTCAGTGCTTCAGCTTTATCAGAAGGTCTGTTAATTTGAATTGGTCTGCACTGAACTCTCTTCACTGCACTCTCTGCTGCTGAAACCAAGTCGTGTGTCTTTCACCTATCACATCAGCATCTTGCCTCAGGCCCTCTATGTTCTTTGGCCCTCGAATGTATTTTTCAAGTTTCTTACCTGCTCTTGGTGTTTTCCTAATTGCCTTGATCACTTGTTCTTTGCCATGAAGTAGCTGAAAGCACTGTGAACAGTGGCAATGACTGCTCTGTTTATTATTTCTTTTATGCCTTGAACTGATGATTCCATACCTGGCATCCCAGTGTGCTGGTTGCTGCTGGATTTGCTTCTCTGACCTCATCACCAGTCATATCTCCTTTTCTCTTTCCACTAGTTAATCTATTCTAGGAGAGTTTGAGTGTACTGGCTTGTGTCTTCCCACTTCTGCATCTCCTTTTGTGGGCAGTGGAAGGGGAAGCTCTCCTTTAATACAACTACTTGCATCCTCTAGCTCTTGGCACCTCCCTTACTCTCTTATCTGACTCTTCTCTGGTATGCATTAGTTTCTTTCAGGATTTAGAAAAAAAAGGAAGGTGGGGGGAAGGAAAAAGCTACTGGCATCCTTGGCCCCACTTGTCTCTCCAGCTACCTTCCTCGCTGCCTCTCCTTCCATTGTGCGGACTGTGCATCATTAAACTGTTTTTTTCCTGGACCCTCTCCAGCCTGGCTCTTGTTTCTCCTGTTATGCTGAAGCCAAAATGTTAAAACTCTGTTACTGGCTGAAGCTCACAAGTCTGGCCCCTCTTAACTTGAACT